AATATACACTCTTTGGCTCAAGTTCTAGTCTTACCAACAAAACTTTGTTCATAATATGATTTTCTGAGTAGATTTATAAACACTTTTTTTAAAAGACCAATAATATATGCCCATCTTCTTTACTTTTAAGTGAATAAATTACCATATTTATTTACTCTCCAAGTTTGTTTGCAATCAAAATGAAGACAATAATAATAATAATAATAAAATAATACCTTTTGTGGTATTCTATAGGCAAATTAATGGCCCCCCAAAGATGTCCACATCCTAATCTTTAGAACATGTGAGTATGTTATCTTAAATGGCAAAGATGAATTAAATTGCAGATGAAATTAAAGTTGCTAATCAACGAACCTTAAAATAAAGAGATCATCCAGGATCATCACAGCATGTCCTTAATAATACAATAGAAGAGGGAGACAGAAGAAAAGGTTGAGTGATGCAATGTAAGGACTCTACCTTCCATTGTTGGCTTTGAAGATGGGAAGGGGCCACAAGCCAAGGAATGTGGGCAACCCCTTGAAAGTGGAATGGACGGGGAAGTTGGTTCTCCCCTAAAGCCTCCAAAAAAAAAAAATGCAGCCTCACTGACACCTTGATTTTGGCCCATTGACATATGTGTCAGACTTCTGACACACAGAACTGCAAGATAATAAATTTATGTTGTTTTAAGCCACTAAGTTTATGGCAATCTGTTACAGCAGTAATAATAAAAACAAATACATCTATCTAATAGGTTGTTGTGAGGCTCAAATGAAGCACAATTTATACAGACCTTGGTACTGTGCTGGCACAGTACTCATCTAATAAACATTAGTGACTGTTATTATAGTTAATAGTTATTTATTCTCTCAATATTTATTAAACTATGTATTAAACACTATCCTAAGTGCCTGAGATTCAATACAATTCACGGCATAGTCATTGGCTCCCAGGAGGCCCAGCCTAATTGAGGAGATAGTTCTGACATGAAATATGTATTAATCATGTTTTTAATTTTTAATATTTTGTGATGCTTTGACATCTTGGTGGGGGGGGGGGACTTGCTATCTGGGAGAGACTGCCCCTCCCAGGGCTTGTTAATTCCTAGAGATAGTAAACAAACTTATCTGGTGAGCCAGACTTTCATATGCAAACTAACCGACCTGAGTCCATACCCCCAACCACCTCTATCTAACTCTCATATACCAAACTAATATTTCCACTGCCCTAAATCAACCAAAGCCAAGTACCAGGCAACTAAAGACAGTCCCTCTGCCCCAAAGCCTGCTGGGATTATTAAAACTAGTCAAACTAAACTGTTTACTCTGCCCTGTCTTGCCCTTCCCACAAGACTCCCCAGAAAGGCTGAGACCTATGCTTCCTCCAGGCTCCTGCTTCTGCCTCCTAAAAAACCTTCTGGTGCTTCGTCATGTGGCCATGCATGATGTGTGTGTCTCTCCTTCTAGGGCAACTGTGAGTGACAACAAACTTCTTTCAGTGGCACCGACCTCTTCATGACCTCACACAGTCAACTTTTATAAATTAGGAACTGGGCACAAATCAAAGTGTTAAGTGCTATGCAGACTGTGTTACCCCAGCATAGAAGCAAGAGGTGAGGTTAGGGATGATAAGGGAGGAAAATGCTTTAAGAAAGTCATATATTGAAGTGCTATGTAATCAAGCCTCGTGAATAAGTTATTTTTTAATCTTTTGTAAAATAATTCTAGTATTGTGAGTCTCTTTCATTTTTAAAAATCATATGCTTTGATTTCTACTTCATTCAATGTTGTGAGAGAACAAGAANGCTCTCTCAATGTCTCAGCAGCCAGGAGTGCAGCTTTGCCTCCCTGCATCTCGCCTCCCTCTTCCCCCACTTGCCCATCTGTCCACCTTCAAGTAATTGGTGTACAAGTCTCTTAGCTGCTCTGTGTGACGAGTAGAGGGTTCGTTTGATGAGTTACAGCAGTTCAAATTGCAGCGATTTCCAGGGGAGAACTCAGGGAGCCTTCCCCACAGCCACTATTTTCTCCTGGAATCACCATATGCTATTTTTAAATATGCTTTGCAGCTGTCAAGTTCTGTGGATGTTTTTTCTGTGGGTGCCTTGTGGGACTGAAGGAGCAGAACAGTTGAAGCAGGGGGGAGGAGGGTCAGAGTGGACGGTTCCTCAGAACCCTCTTGAATATAAGGATGACATTTCTTACAAAAACAGAAGCTTATTATCCCTCAATCTCATTTTTACCTACACAATCATATTAATACCAACAATAACATTATTACTAACATAATAATAATACTTATTACTCTTATTCCTATAATTGTTCACATTCATTCTTAGTAGAGGAGACTTTGTTATGTTTAAGAAAGAATCACCCCATTTATAACATCGCTTCTTTGGGAAACTAGATTCTGTATTTCAAATAATATAAAACCAAACTTGGTTCATTCTTCAGGACTTCTGTCCACATGGAAAAGTGACAGCAATGTGATTATTGATTTAATAAGTAAACTTTGTGTTGCAAAAGCAATGATAGTCCTGTTAAGGATGTTCCTAACACTTATCTCAACTTTGCATTTTTCCTTAAAGGTATGCAATTTTTTCAGTTTAATGTTCCAACTTAGAACTTTATGAAACTCTTTTTTTTTTCTACAGCGTAAATACCTCCCTGAGGGCCAGCTGAGTGGCTCAATTGGTTAAGAGCTCGCTCAAGAGTTTGAGTTCTGTGCAACAGCGGTTCGATTCCCAGCCGGAGCTGAGCTGCTGCTGAGCTACCAACAGGTGGCAGGATGGCTCAGCTTAAAAAAAAAAAAAGAAAGAAATACCTCCCTGAATCACAGCTAAAGCTGTTAAAGAAGAAAAACTCTGGGGATGAAGTAGTCCTAGAGGCCGGCTAGACTTTCATAGCAAACTACTAGGAAAGCTAGGTTGAAATAAAAGTTTTCTTGGTAAATTTTATGTGTGAGCTGCTTCTTCTTTCTGTAAATTGTGTCACTGGAGTAGAGTCTAGGGGTGTAACTAAGCTTTCAACAAATGGCAGTGGGGGTAGGCAAGAGGGATCAATAGAGCAGATGCAAACTGAAGTCTAGCTCAGAAAAGAAAATACCCAATCCAAGACTTTACCCTAAACTGCGACATTAAAAAAAAAAA